ATATGGATAAATTTTTAAATTTTCTGGGTTAAATAATATTTAAGATATCTTGATCACGATTTTTGTTATATAAATTGTAGTGCCATAAAGAATAACAGCATTCAAATTTCAATACACAACTTCTTAAGTGTGGCAGCGATGAAGGTATACATATTATTGTTAGTTGCAATTGTTGCAATTATCATGAGCTCCAGTAGTATGGCTGAACCTACAGGCGATAAACCTGAGCAGGCTAAGGTATAAAAACATTGTTTATAATAAAAATTGTTTAATCAAGCATTCTTAATATTTCAAATTTTACATTTATTTTATTTTTTAATCATTCTATATTCATATTTTATATTTTATAATTTATTTATGTTTTATTTTTATATCTGCTCGTGTTTGATTTGATCAATTATTGATAATTGACACTGATGCAAATGTGGGTTTAAAATTAATAATTTAAAAAAAAATTTTTTAGTCAAGAATAGAATAAAAATATACTCAATTCATAAAATTGTATTTCTTAAAATTGTGCGTAACATAAATAAAATTAGTTAAAAAAGTTATAAAATGTTAAGAAATATAAATTTTTTTTAAACATCTATGTAATAAAATATTATTCTTTATGCACAATATATAAAATTGTACAATATTAAAATTAAAATTTTGTTATTTTTTTGTTTTAGAAAATGGATGAAGCAATCAGTTGGGCCACGTCAATATATGAGGGCTAACTGCATCATAATTAAATAATAACAGAATTTATGTCACACTATATTCAACAAGTTTCTCAGCTAATAAGCATTTTGTAGTAATATTATTTGCTATGTGAAAAAATTAATATAATTTTCAAAAACCTTTAAAGATTATGTAAAATATAATTATATTGTATTGCGATGCATTAAATTACGTCGTGTATTAATAAATATAAATGGTACACAAGTATATACTGCAATTAATTCCTTATTATTTATCCAAGTGCAAAATTTGAGTTACAGTATTTTTTATCCTATAAAACACTATAGCGTTTTAAAGATATGTCTTTA